CAGAAATGGAGTCTGCCCTTCCCTTAATCTGACCTTCCACTTGGGACACCCATGAGATGCCCTCACAGTTGTGGAGAACACACAATGAACACTGGACTACCTGGACTATCAAGTAGGTATTAAAAATCTTGTTTGTGATTAGTACATAACAATGTGGAAATGCATTTCTGTGATTCTGTCATGAAAAACTGGACCTATGTATATACATATATGCACACATAACTAAATGAACTATGTAAAGAAAAGATTACATAGAGTAAAATATATTAACAGCAGCTGGCTTTGGGTGGTGAGTCTTCATTCTACAGATTTTCTACAGATTCCTCATTTTCCTTCATAACCATGTTTCACTTGTATAATAAGGAAAAAACTAGGTAGATTGAGATCCCACTGAGTGACAGATACTAAGAACTTTTCCATCGAAGTTAAGTTCGGTGAATTTCTAAGGTTAATTCCACACTGTATAATTATATAGAGATAAGAGACAGGCACCAAATTTGTCCAAGAATAAATACTAAAACTAACACAAATTTACCAAATTTCTCTTCAATTCTGAAAGATATCAACATAACCTTCATCCTCCATTCCTCCAATGTTTTTAGTTGGGGTTGCTAAATAAGTTCCAAGTCAACCTATATACCACATTACTCATCCTAGCAACTGCCTAACAACCTCTGGCAAAATACAAGTCTGTAAATAGCAACTACACAAAGAGTCGCTCATGAAAGAGGCCCAGAAACTATCAGAACAAGGTGGTGCTCTTTCCATGGTTCCTTTGGAACAGACAGTAAAACTCTTACCTAAAAAACACATAATAGGCTCATGATTTTTCTGTGAAGCATCTTTGTCCTTTTGAGCTTTACAGCTGTGACCTGTGACAGTAGTAAAATTTAAAGTAGAACACGACAAACAGCCCAATGCAAACCTCAGGTACAGGTAACACAGCAGGGATCAGCCTCCTGTATTTCCTTTGCTTCACGTGCTTTGCTTGGAAACCGACCACTTGTAATGAAAGGCTGTGCGCTTAGTACTTTTGTTTGTTTAAAGAAAGGTATTGAAGCAATAGGTTTCTTTTTTTTTTTTTAATTGAAAAGCCCAAGTTCATTTGGGTTTTTAATTAAACACACGTTAAATCTGAGAGTGCATTACTAGAAATGTAAACCCAAAGTTTTCCCAAGATCAGTCAGTTCTCATCATCTGAAGAATACTCCATTTTTTCAAACAAAATGAAATATTTTCTAAGGACAATTCATTATTTCGAAAACAAGAATAAAATAAATCGTTATGATCCACTTAGTGCAAATGTAATACAAACACACTACAGTTTTTTACAGAGCATGTCATATAAGAATAAATTAGAAATTATCAGCACAGGGTAGAACTAATTCTGAATGTGCAGACATCCAATTATAGAAAAGTCAACGTAGAAATTATATATGTACTCTGAAATTTAATTTCATTTATTTCAATTTTTGATATTAAACTCTTTAGAGCCTAATACTTATTACATAGGAAGCATTTCTCTTAAATAGAATTTAGCTACTGATTTGTCAAAAATAACTTTTTGTTAAAAAGTATTTGAAAATCTTGGAAAAATAAAAATGTTGGGGGAATATTTACAACTCTACCACTAAGACAAACTATTTTGATAAATGTCTATTAGGCATATCTTGACAATATGTTTCTTAAAGTATAAAGGGTGGTTAGTAAATTTGAAGAGAAATGCTTCTATTTGTAGACTGGTAACCTGTTCAGTGTAGGTCAACTCAAACAGTTCCACAGTCTGACAACCTGTCCTCTACCACCTTGACCAGTGGTGGGAAAGAGAGACTCACCCTCCAGCTAACCAAAAGGCCCCTGGCAAAGCCACAGGGGCACAAGCATCTTTTTTCCCAATGGCAACAGAAGAGATACTGAAGGTGATAGGCTCTGTATGTGTTCTAACAGAATATAATAGAAATTTTTTAATTACAGCAAAAAAATTTTTAGATAATTCCTAGTGCATAACATTAAGGCATAGTTTTGTTTTGGGATTATCACAAGCAATGTTATTTATAGAAGGAAGATATTCTGTGGTACAGTTTTATATTTTCTGATCACCAGAAAACTTAGCAATAAAATATCTCACCTGTGCGTACAAAAACACAGTGTCTCTGGACCCACAAGTTTGCAATCCATTCCAATTGGCGATCGCCAGCTCACAAATAATCTGTTCTGTAAACGCGTAGGTAAAACTTTTCTTTTGTATTCTTCATATTCTTCAGGAGTAAAGAGTTTCCCTCCATCGTCCTCACCCACAATTCTACAATAACACACAAAAAAAATATTTCTCTTAAGCCTTGTGCTTTATTTTCCAGGTTACAAACACTAAACTATACTTTCCAGTTTAAAAATTAAACTATATTTATATAATCAAAGGAAAGCTGCTTCAACTTTTTTACTTTAGGTTCATGTTAATAGCAAAAGTGCACAATATAATAAAGCTTTTTGTTTCTCATATAAAAGAGAATTATAAGTACAAAAGTCAAAGAATTCCTAACATCTGACTTGACTGATCAAGGTTTAACACTGAAAAATGACCACGTATTCATCTCAATTTCTCCTTTGATTCTGAAGCAAACATGTTCATTCTTCATTAAAAGCTGGAGCCTACACTGCTAAAAATTCTAACATTTTCCTCCTTCAAAAATAGTAACCCCCCCAAAAAAATAATACAAAAAAACAATGGAGAAGACAACATGACTAATGTACATACCTGACCCCAAACCCTGGCCAGTTTGAACTAACATGGGACCCACAAACACCATTGGATCTGCACAATCTCAAACCCACATCTGTTGTTGGATAATGAGGTACATCATTGCTTAATTCCAGAAGACCTTAACATTTTATAGGAAAAATTAAACCACTGCTATTTCTTAAGAAATTAGGAGTTAGCTTCTCTGGAGTAACAGAAAGTACAATTAAAAGAATTTGTTCAAAATTGAGGAAAATTCTCCTTAAAATGCTCCCATTTAAAAATCATGAAAAGTGTTATTTGCAGAATGTTACCTGAGTTTTTGTGCAATCCATACCTTTCTCATTACTCTAAAGACTTTAGCTCAGATAAACAGAACCAATTCAGAAGCTATGAAACCATGACAACCTTTTTCCTTACTTAAATTAATTTAGATAGACAATAGCAAAGGGGGGGAGCATTTTCTTTTGAGACAATTTTTGGGCCATTTCACTTTATTATAAAAACCAAGTAGTGAACCAACAGGTAATGGAAAGACCTTAGGATCAATGTAAGTCTTTTTAAAGAAAAAGATCTTTTGTATTTAAGTTCTAAATCACTTCAGCTAGAACTTTATTGTAGTTACACAAACCTCAAGGGATCTAGTTCAAATGCAGATTTAGATTAATGGTCTAAAACAGGCCTGAGAGCATTTCTAATGGGCTTCCAAGTGATGCCTACAGGGCTGGTCCATAATTGCTATATTTTGAGTAACAAGGCTCTTTTAAAGGGTATTGTTCCAGATTTTTTATGTTTGCAAAAAAAAAAAATTTTCCACCAGGCCCTAACATTTTCTGAATCGGGCAAAAGAACTACAAGTGGGAGGCCCACAATCCACTTAAACTAAATAATCTACATACCTAGGTTATCAGTCAACACCAGGGCCCAGCAACGTGGTCCTGGGGAGAAGCACTGGAGACTTGGAGGCTAACGGAGCCAGTTCTGCACTGGGTGATCCGTGAGACCACCTTTAGGAAGAGCAGCCCCTCTCACTCAGGTTTCCCAGGCGGAGCTGTGATTGTCTCGCTTCCCATTTAGACACACACATTCCCCTCCAACTCCGCGTCGTCCTGCCTGTCCCTGTACAGTAATTCCCACTCACCTACTTTCCCAACTGTCAAAAACCTTCCTTGGGGGAACAAATAAAGAACACGTCACCGCTGCAGGTGCAACTAGCCTTTGTCAGGGTCCAGGGCAGTGGCGCCCTCAAGCCGAAGGGGCGGCTGCGTTTCCAGTTTCGGGAAAGGAATTATCTCCCGAACCAAAGAAACTACACCAATTGGTGTCTTTCTTCCAAAACCAGCACCTTGGGATTGGGAGCACGTTTGGAAAGTTCACGACTTATCCCAGTGCTACACTAACATGAAAACTTAATGTCTGCTACTTTTATGGGCCCTGAGTACTCAATGTGTAATGGCCATTTAGGAAAAACTGGACCTTTGCATAAATCTAGAATTAATAATCCTTCTTGGAAGGGGTGGGAGCGGGACACCTCTTAAATAGCCCCGGAAGAGACTTAATTCTAGAACTGTGTGTCACTACGATGTTTAATGACAGAAAGATGAAACTTGACATCAATGTAAGCCTCCCCCAACAGCCCGGGAACGGATTCCAGGGCGCCGGCGGGCGAGCGCCGTGCCCCTGTCCGCGTCGCCAGCGCTCCTCCCG